GCCCAGGCTAGAGTGCAATGGCACATTCTCAGCTCACCGCAACCTCCGCCTCCCAGGTTCAAGCGATTCTCCTGCCTCAGCCTCCTGAGTAGCTGGGATTACAGGCATGTTCCACCATGCTGGCTAATTTTGTGTTTTTTTTAGTAGAGACAGGATTTCTCCATCTTGGTCAGTCTGGTCTTGAACTCCCAACCTCAGGTGATCCACCCGCCTCGGCCTCCCAAAGTTCTGGAATTAGAGGTGTGAGCCACTGCGCCTGGCCATGCACTCCATTTTCTTTTAATTTTTTTGAGACAGAGTCTCGCTCTGTTGCCCAGGCTGGAGTACAGTGGCCTGATCTCGGCTCACTGCAACCTCCACCTCCCAGGTTTAAGTGATTCCCCTATCTCAGCCTCCCAAGTAGTTGGGACTGCAGGCATGCACCACAACGCCTGGCTAATTTTTTGTATTTTAGTAGAGACGGGGTTTCACCATGTTGGCCATGATGGTCTCAATCTCTTGACCTCATGATCCGCCCGCCTCGGCCTCCCAGAGTGCTGGGATTACAGGCGTGAACCACCGCGCCCGGCCCCTCTATTCCATTTTTTAAGTCTTTTCTTTAATTTCCCCAGTAATACGTGGGTTTGCTGTTTCGATTTGCTGTTTCAGGAATCGATAACATTCGGGGATGTGGCCATAGACTTCTCTCATCAGGAGTGGGAATATCTCAACCTGGTTCAGAAGACCTTGTACCAGGAGGTGATGATGGAGAATTACGATAACTTAGTCTCACTGGGTATGTTTATCAACCTGGAATGATTTAGAATAATTTAGAATCATCTGTTCTGTAGCATATATTCTTTTTCTCTTGTGATTTTCAGGGCTGCCTTTTAAGAAACTAAATTTGTTTTCTCTATTTCTATTGAGGTGGTTTCACCTTTGAGTCAGCAATGGCAGCTCCTTTCAACACTTTCATCTTCTCTATCTTTCGGTGACATTCACACCTCCCTCTGATACTTCTTTTATTTGTCTCTTTAACCCAGAAAGTGGGTTGAACCAGTGGTTTAGCTTAGAATTTTCTGATGTTCATTGTAGAACCATTGTCAGGGCATTCAGGTTTCTTATTTATTTTGTGCACAGAATTGCTTTAGTGCTCCATTTTATTATCTGATCCATTTGCAGCGATATTAATTTGACAGAAGGTGCTGAATTGCTATTATTATCAAAAGAGATAGCCTGTTCATATAGTCATAGAGTGGTGGATTGGATAAATTAAACTTACTTAAAACTGAGGAGAAAACAGTCCATTTCCTGAGACAGAATTTATTTGATTTACAGCTGAAACTTACAATCCATGAAAATTACGTGTAAAATGGGATGAATATGCTATAGATAGCTCTTCTTGTATACTCTTAGTAAAATAACTGCAGTAGCGTAATGTGAACAGCTAGCATTGTGATTTCCACACAGACATTTTTCTAAGTACTTTACTCATATATCAAGTAATTTAATACTCCCAACAGCCTTACTATTTTCCCAATTTTATAAGTGAGAATACTGAGCAGCAGTGTAAGTAACTTGTCCAAGGTCACACACAGCTGGAAAGTGACAGAGTCAGGAATTGATCCCAGGCTGTTTTTTTTTTTTTTTTTGAGATGGAGTCTTCTGTCACCCAGGCTGGAGTGCAGTGGTGCGATCTTAGCTCACTGCAACCTCCACCTCCTGGGTTAAAGTGATTCTCCTGCCTCACCTTCCCTAGTAGCTGGGATTACAGGCACTACCACCACACCCACAGCTAATTTTTGTATTTTTAGTAGAGACGGTTTTGCCATATTGGCCAGGCTGGTCTCCAACTCCTGACCTCAGGTGATTCGTCCACGTCAGCCTTCCAGAGTGCTGGAGTTATAGGCGTGAGCCACCGCACCCGGCCAATCCCAGGCTTTAGAGTGTGTGTTTTCAACCACTTTATGCTTGCTTGCTGCAGTTAGAGGACATATAAGTTTAAATTTCTTTTGAGGCCAGTCATGGTGGCTTATGCCTGTAATCCCAGCACTTTGGGAGTCTGAGATGAGCAGATCACGAGGTCAGGAGTTCGAGACCAGTGTGGCCAACATGGTGAAACCCCATTTCTACTAAAAATACAAAAATTAGCCAGGCGTGGTGGCGCATGCCTGTAATCCCAGCCGCTCAGGAGACTGAGGCAGGAGAATCACTTTAACCTGGGAGGCGGAGGTTGCAGTGTGCCAAGATCGCACCATTGCACTCCAGCCTGGGTGACAGAGCGAGATTTTTTGAAAACCAGCAAACAAAAAGATTGACTCTCCCTGGGTGATCTTTTTCTTATTTCTCTCACTCTTCTCTAAAATCTTATTCTGTATCACTTTGACCTTTCATTTATTGCAATTGTAATTTTAAATTTGACCTTCAAATTTGATTTCTGTATTTTGTGGCACTTCTTTTCTTTGTAAGCAGGACATTTCATATCTAAGCCAGATTTAATCACCTTATTGGAGCAAGGAAAAGAGCCATGGATGATTGTGGGGGAAGAAACAAGAGGAGAATGTACAGGTAAGAGCAAGTCAGGCAGGGGCAGCCATTTTTGTATGTAAATAGCCCTCGTGGAAGTGGTCATCTCATTTGGTAAACGCATCCTTGAAACATTAGTCATAAAGTTCCCTCCTCAGCGAGGAGGCTTCTGATGTGGAGAAGAAATGGATATCTCAGCATGAAATAGCCAATGAAGGCCCAGCGCAGCGGCTCACGCTTGTAATCCCAGCACTTTGGGAGGCCGAGGCGGGCAGATCACCTGAGGTGATCCTCCACAGTAGCTGGGACCACAAGTGCATACCACCACATCTGGTAATTTATTTTTCTTTAGAGAGGAGGTCTCCCTACATCGCCCAGGCTGTTCTCAAACTCCTGGGCTCAAGTGTTCTTCCTGCCTTAGACTCCCAAAGTGCTGGGATTATAGGTGTGAGCTACCATGCCTGGCCCAGAATTGTTCTACACCCCCTGCCCAACCTTTTTTTTTTTTTTTTTGAGATAAGGTCTCACTCTGTCACCCAGAGCAGGAGTGCAGTGGCACAGTCTTATCCTCTGCAATATCTGGGACCACAGGTGTGTGCCACCACACCCAGCTAATTTTTGTATTTTTGTAGAGACATGGTCTCACTATGTTGCCCAGGCTGCTCTGGAATTTCTGGGCTCAAGTGACCCGTCTCAGCCTCCCAAAGTGCCAGTATTACAAGTGCAAGCCACCTCGCCCGGCCTGTTCTATATCCTCACTGTGGTTATGAACAACTATGTGCATTTTTCAAATCTCATAGAACTGTATATCAAGAAAAGTGAATTTTGGCCAGGCTCTCTGGCTCACACCTACAATCCCAGCACTTTGGTAGGCCGAGGCAGGCAGACCACTTGAAGACAGGAGTTCAAGACCACCCTGGCCAACATGGCAAAACCGTCTCTACAAAAAATATGAAAAATTAGCTAGGTGTGGTGGCACTGCCTATAATCCCAGTTACTTGGGAGGCTAAGGTGGAAGGATTACTTGAGCCTTGGAAGCAGAGGCTGCAGTGAGCCGAGATCACAACATCACATTCCAACCTGGATGACAGAGTGGGACCCTGTCTCAAAAAAAAAAAAAAAATTAAGAAATTCTTGTCAAGGTTACAACCTGAGCCGTCTGGCCACGGTGGGGAAGAGAGTGCTAATCATAAGATGACAGAAAGCGTCCCCTCTGCAATACCTTACCTCCTTATCAACAGAGCTACAGAATAAAAATTGTGGATTCCAACTGAGAGACCTGCAAGACAGTCTCCATTTAAGAAAGAATTGCTAGGGAAACCCAAAGACAAAAGAGAAGACATAAATAAAAACTGGAAGAATTGAAACTACAACACAAACAGCTACAGCACACAATGAACACGGCCTAACTCCCAGGCAGACAAACCTCAAACTTTACACTGAAGGTGTATTCAACTCAGTTCCTATTACGGGACACATCGCGGCCAGCTATTTCTTTCTTCTTTCTTTTCTTTTCTTTTTCCTTCCCCCCTCGCCACTTTCCTTTCCTTTCTCTTTCCTTCCTCTTTCCTTTCTCTTTCCTTTCCCTTTCACTTTCCCTTTCCTTTCCCTTTCCCTTCACCTTCCCCTACCCTTCCCCTTTCCTTCCCCTTCCCTTCCCCATTTCCTTGCACTTCCCTTCCCCTTTCCCCTCCCCTTTCCCCTTCCCTTTCCCCTTCCCTTCCCTTCCCTTTCTGTCTTTCCAGACGGAGTCTTGCTCTGCCGCCCAGGCTGGAGAAAAGTGGAGGGATTTCGGCTCACTGCAATCTCCACCTCCTGGGTTCAAGCAATTCTCCTGCCTCAGCCTCTCGAGCAGCTGGAATTACAGGCGCCTGCCACCATGCCTGGCTAATTTATATATCTCATATATATATATATATTTTTTTTTTTTTGTAGAGGTAGGGATTCACCATATTGGTCAAGCTGGTCTCAAACTCCTGACCTCAAGTGATCCGCCCGCCTCAGCCTCCCAAAGTGCTGGGATTACAGGCATGAGCTACCGCACCCGGCCATGTCCAGCTTTTTCTAACAAAAATTACAAGGCATGCTGAAAATAAGTAAACATCATTTAAAAAAAAAAAAAAAAAAAGGATTGAAACCAGACCCAGATAAGGCAGAGATTTTGGAATTACCGAACTGTGAATTAATAAATTAACTTATTTATTTATTTAGAGACAGAGTCTCACTCTGTCACCCAGGCTGGAGAGCAGTGGCGTGATCGTGGCTTACTGCAACCTCCGCCTCCTGGGTTCAAGCAATTCTCCTGCCTCAGCCTCCCAAGTAGCTGGAACTATGGGTGTGCTGCCCAGCTACTTTTTGTATTTTTAGTAGAGACGGGGTTTCACCATGTTGGCCAGGCTGGTCTCAAATTCCTGACCTCAGGTGATCTGCCCACCTCGGCCCCCTAAAGTGCTGGGATTACAGGCTTGAGCCACCACGCCCGGCCCATCAACCTGTTTTTATACAAAGTGTTTGGGTTATTGATTTAATTACTTTATGAGAACAAAAGGGAGAAAGAGAGAAGGGAGCAGATGTAGGGGAGAGATTTCGAGAAAGATAGGAAGAGAAAGAAATACAGATTTTTTTTCTTTTTCAGATTTTCAGTTTCTTAACTAAAAATTGGTGGTTTGTATTTTTCTTGGAAGTTGAACATTCATCTAAGTTTTTTTTTTTTTTGGTGGGGGGGTGACAGAGTCTTGCTGTCTTGCCCAGGCTAGAGTGCAGTGGTGCAATCTCGGCTCACTGCAACCTCTGCCTCCCAAGTTGAAGTGATTCTCCTGCCTCAGTCTCCTGAGCAGCTGAGACTATAAGCGCCCGCCACCATGCCCGGCTAATTTTTGTATTTTTAGTAGAGACAGGGTCTCACCATGTTGGCCAGGCTGGTTTCAAACTCCTGACCTCAGATGATCTGCCTACCTCAGCTTCCCAAAGGGCTGGGGCGTGAGCCACCATGCCCGACCCTGGCAAACTTTTCTGAAGGGCCTGACCAGCTTAAATTATTTACTGGATGGTAGTGTTCATCGCTTTATCTACTTCTTAGTCAAGCTTTGGTGGTGTCTTTCAAGGAATTTGTTCATTTCATCTAAGTTATCAAATTTATTGGCATGGGATTCATAATACTTTATGATTTATAGTGATAATCCCTTTTTTATTCCTGCAATGGGTCATTTATGCCTTCTCTCCCTTTCTCTCCTTTGGGTGGAGGTTTATCAACTTCATTGATCTTTTCAAAGAATCGGCTTTTGGTTTCATTGATTTCTTTTTTTAATTGATTTTCAATTTTCTATTTTACTTTTTCTGATTATTATTATTTTTATTCTTCTTGCTTTGGGTTTGATTTGCTCGTCTTTTTCTATTGAGGTGAAGACTGAGGTGTTTTTTTGTTTGTTTGTTTTTGTTTTTTTTTTTTTGAGACAGAGTCTTGCTCTGTCGCCCAGACTGGAGTGCAGTGGCGGGATCTTGGCTCACTGCAAGCTCCGCCTCCCGGGTTCACGCCATTTGCCTGCCTCAGCCTCTTGAATAGCTGGGACTACAGGCGCCCGCCACCAGCTAATTTTTTGTATTTTTAGTAGAGACAGGCTTTTACTGTGTTAGCCCAGATGGTCTTGATCTCCTGACCTCGTGATCCGCCCACCTCGGCCTCCCAAAGTGCTGGGATTACATGCTTGAGCCACCGTGCCCGGCCAACTGAAGTCTTTTTTTGTTGTTTTTTTATACTAACATAGATGTTAGTGTTGTAAATTTCCCCTAGGTGGTTCTTTATTAGTTAGTATTCCATAAAATTTGATACATTGTGTTTCCATTTTGATTCAGTTCATATTGCTTTCTGATTTCCTTCTTGATTTCTTCTTTGACCTGTGGTTTATTTAGAAGTGTGTTGGTTTGTTTCCAAACAGTTAAGGATGTTTCATTGTTGGTTAGTGATTTATAATTAGCACCGTTGTGATCAGAGAACATGCTTTTTATGACTTGAATTATTTTAAATAATAATTGAGATTTGTTTTATGTACTGTATCGGCCCTCTTGGCAAATATTCCACATGTGCTTGAGAATATTGTATATGTTGGTGTTGGGTGGATGTTCTGTCAATATCTCATGTAGTTTCTTGGTTGATACTGTGCAAATCTTGTATATCTTTACCATGTTTTTGTGTACTTGTTCTGGGAATTGTTTCTAGAAAAATATTTCCATTTCCAGTTATATTTTTTCTTTTTCTCTTCTTTTTTTTTTTTTTTTTTTACACAGAGCCTCACTCTGTCACCCAGGTTGGAGTGGGTTGGAGTGCAATGGTGTGGTCTCAGCTCACTGCGACCTCCGCCTCTGGAGTTCAAGTGATTCTCCTGCTTCTGGGTTCAAGCGATTCTCCTGCTTCTGGGTTCAAGTGATTCTCCTGCTTCAGCCTCTGAGTAGCTGGGACTACAGACGTGCACCACCACACCCAGCTAATTTTTGTATTTTTATTAGAGACGGGGTTTCACTATTTTGGCTTGGCTGGTCTCGATCTCATGACCTCATGATCCTCCCACCTCGGCCTCCCAAATTGATGGGATTACAGGCGTGAGCCACTGCGCCTGACCAATTTCCAGTTATGCTTTATTGTTACCTATTTTTCATTGCATTTCAATCAGTTTTTGTCTTATATACTTTGAGAGTGTTATCAGGTGCATAAGTGTTTGGGAATTTTATGTTTTCTTGATAGACTGATCCCTTTTATGTTATGACATGCACCTTCTTGAATCTTCCTATTTTCCTTTGTCCTGAAATCTATGTTGTCTGATATTAACATAGCCCACCATTTGTTTGGCTTGTTATATTGATTCTATCCTTTTACTTTTAATATTTTGTGTCTTTAAAGTATGTTCCTTGTAGCCATTACATAGTGCACAAGGGTTCCAATTTCTCTGCATTCTCTTCAACATTAGTTATTTTCTGTTTTTTGTTTTGTTTTGTTTTTTTGTTTTTTAACCAGTAGCCATCCTGATGGTTTTGAGATGATGGGTCATTCACTATGTTCATCTTTGCCTCTTAAAGTGTTTTGACCCTATACATTTTATGTAATTATTAACATGATTACATTTAGGTCTACTACTTTACTTTTTTTCTCTATTTAGTTTCTCTGTCCATTCCTTTTGTAGTTTTGATTATTTCAATTTTTGTTTGTTTTTTGCTATTTATTTAAATTTACCTATTGGCTGGGCGCAGTGGCTCACACCTGTAATCCCAGCACTTTGGGAGGCTGAGGCAGGTGGATCACCTGAGGTCAGGAGTTCGAGACCAGCCTCAACATGCAGAAACCCCGTCTATACTAAAAATACAAAATTAGCCTGGCGTGGTGGTGCATGCCTGTAATCCCAGGTACTCGGGATGCTGAGGCAGGAGAATTGCTTGAACCTGGGAGGCGGAGGTTGTGGTGAGCCGAGATCGCTGAGCAACAAGAGTGAAACACCATCTCAAAAAATAATAATAATAAAAACAATTTTTAAAATAAATAAATAAATTTACCTGTTGACTTTTGGGTTGTATCTCCTTGAGTAATTTATTTTAGTGAGTGTTATAGGGATTATAGTATACAATATACATTATGTTTCACCATCTAGATAGAGTTGTTCCTTCTCAACAAATGTATAAACCTTGTGTTTTTATAGGTTTATATCCATCTTACCCTTCACGTTATAATTTCCATGTATATCACATCTTCATATGTTGTAAACCTCACTAGGCAGTGTTATTAGTTTTGCTTTTGACAGTCATATTAAAGAACTTAAGGAGCAAAAAATGATTTTAGGTATTTACATCATCATTAGTGATGCTTTTCTTATATTCTGAAGATTCAGATTTCTCTTTGGTATTATTTTCTTTGGGCCTAAATAACTTGTTAGCATTTTTTGTATAGTAAGTCTGATGGCAACAAAGTATTTTAATTTGCTTTTATCAGTAAATGTAATGTATCTTACTTGGCATTAAATGAGCATCTTAATTCTACAAATTTATTTCTTTCACTAAATTTGAGTTGTTTTCAATCGCTATTTCCTGAGATATTTTTCCTGCCAAAATCTTTGTTTTTTCAGTTTATAATTTCAACCATATCTTTTGATTTATTCCCACAGCTCTTTACAAATGTTTTCTTCTTCTTCTTCTTTTTTTTTTTTTTAATTTTTTATTTCTGAGACGGAGTTTCACTCTTGTTGCCCAGGCTGGAGTGCAATGGTGCAATCTTGGCTCACTGCAACCTCCGCCTCCCAGGTTCAAGGAATTCTCTGCCTCAGCCTCCCCAGTAGCTGGGATTACAGGTGCCCGCCACCATGCCCAGCTAATTTTTTGTATGTTTAGTAGAGATAGGATTTCACTATGTTGGCCAGGGTGGTCTCGAACTCCTGACATCAGGTGATCCACCTGCCTCAGCCTCCCAAAGTGCTGGGATTACAGGCATGAGCCACCACACCCGGCTAAAATTTTTTAAACCATTTTTCTCTCTCCATTTCAAGTTGAATAATTTCTGTTGATCAATCAAGTTTACTGACCCTTAGTGATTATATGTTTCAGTTGTATAATTTGCATTTTCATCCTTTTCTGTCTCCCCACTCGTGGTTATAGCTCCTATGTTGTCTGTCATTTCCAGTGTGTTTTTCTAAGCTTTTTCTTAATGTTCTGATGTTGCAATCATATTAGCTAGCATGACAGGCATCAGCCATTGAGCCTGGCTCCAAACCTTTGTATGCTACTGTTATAAATAAAGTTTCAATGCCGCAAAAGAAATAGCACTCAAATATAAAATTTTCTTTTTTTTTAATTCTCGGCAAGGCAAGGTACTTGTATAGAAGGGTGCGCTCTCACCGGTGGAGCAATGGTGGGCGCACATTTGGACAAGGGAGGGGAAGGGGTTCTTATCCCTGAGGCACATGGCCCCTGCTGCTGTGTCGTTCCCCTATTGGTTAGGGTTAGACCGCACAGGCTAAACTAATTCTGATTGGCTAATTTAAAGAGAATGACGAGTGAGCGCTTTGGCAGGTGTCAGGGCAGAGCCGGTATAGCCCATAACAGGAATGAGTTAGGGTGGAGCAGGTAATCGAAAAAGGTTGCTTTACGAGGAAGTTAAGTTTAAATGTAGAAGGCAAAGAATTGAACATACTGATATATTAATGTTTTGAAGAGAAATTTAGAATTCATATTCAACACTACTATTTTTATTGTTTTGTTTACTCACAACTCTAAGTCTTTGAAGACTTCCTTTCTTTTCTTTTATAATATTTTCAGGTTCATGTTACCTGTTCCCATCCTGAATTGTTTGTTTCTCTGCAATATTTTATGTGCATAATTTTAAAATTTAGATATTGAGAAATTACAAGATAGGTGGTAAAATGTGCTCATTTTAACTGTCTTTTTAGCAGCTTTTTGTATTTCATCCATGGCAATTGACTGTTTAGACTTTTCACTTTTAGGGTCACCTCTGAGGAATATTCCTACAAAATTATTCATTGTTTTTAATACTTTCAAGATATGTATATAGACTCTTATAATTTAAATAAAATCTCTGTTTCTTATTTTCCCTTCTTATTTTTTTATTATTTTTTGGTTGCTTTAGCTCATATTTCACCCAATGATTTTTGTAAACACCATGTCTTTGATTTAGGTGTTGACACTATTCTGTTTCCTAACCCATCACATTCTGCTTTTATCTTTATTTTTCTACTTTCCTGTACCTTGCTCTTAAATTCCTAAATGTTGGGTAGTGATCTTTAACTTATTTTCTTTCCTTTTTATTGAGATAAATATTCACTCTTTGAATTCCCTGCCTGCTGATACTGAATGCCCATGATTATGATGTGTACCCATTTCCTCCATCATGATTTGCTTACCCTTTATAATTTCCATGTATATCACATCTACATATGTTGTAAACCTGATCATTCTTCAGTTACAATCTTCCCTGAAAGATGGGTGTTCCCACAACTGTAGTTTATTCCTTTCTATGTATGACCATGTATACTTCTTTTCTCTATATATTAAATAAGATACTGAGTTTTTATTTAGTTATCTTACCCTGACTTTTTTTTATTACTTCTGATCCTACAGATGTTCAATCTGCTGGAATTCTTCCATTTTACTCTTCTATTTCCATATCAATATTTGCCTGTTTTCTTAGCATATGATATAAGTTTATATAGAGGGTGTGTGGTACAGCTGGTCAGTTCTGTCATTCTAGAGCCAGTTATGCATATATGTTAATAAATCTGCATTAAATTGACAGCTTGAAATTGCCCTCAGTGGGAGTATTTATACCAGAGATCTTGGCAAACACTACAAAACAGGGCTGTGTGTGTGTGTGTGTGTGTGTGTGTGTGTGTCTTTGTGTATGGGTGCATGTATGTGTAAGGTTGCACTCCTCCGTAGAAACTCATTTTTTGAGCTCTCCTTTCATTTTTTATATTTTATAGCTGTATTTTTGAGTTCTCGGCATCTGTAATAGGTGAGAATTTCTCTTAATTCTACAATACATTGACATTTTCTCATCCAATAAACAAAATGTTTTTATTATATGTCTTCTAGATTTGGATTCAAGGTGTGAAATAATCAGCGATGGGAAAATGCACCTTTATAGGAAACAGTCATCTGTTACTCTCCATCAGAGAATTCATAATGGACAGAAACCATACGAGTGTAAGGAATGTCAGAAGGCCTTTAGTCATCTTACAGAACTCATAGTACATCAAAGAATTCATACTAGTGAGGAACCTGATCAACGTGAAGAGTTTGGGAAGGCATTTAGCCATCTTACAGACCTTAGAGAGCATCAGAAAATTCATGCTCGTGAGAAACCTTATGAATGTGAAGAATGTGGGAAAGTCTTCAGTTATCCTGCAAACCTTGCTCAACATGGGAAGGTTCATGTTGAGAAACCCTATGAATGTAAAGAGTGTGGGGAAGCTTTTAGGACTAGCCGTCAACTTACTGTACATCACAGATTTCATTACGGTGAGAAACCCTACGAATGTAAGGAATGTGGCAAAGCCTTTAGTGTGTATGGACGACTTAGTCGACATCAGAGTATTCACACTGGTGAGAAGCCCTTTGAATGTAACAAATGTGGGAAGTCCTTTAGGCTCAAAGCAGGCCTTAAAGTACATCAGAGTATTCATACTGGAGAGAAGCCACATGAATGTAAGGAATGTGGAAAGGCCTTTCGTCAGTTTTCCCACCTTGTAGGTCATAAAAGAATTCATACTGGAGAAAAACCCTATGAATGCAAGGAATGCGGTAAGGGCTTTACATGTAGGTATCAACTTACTATGCATCAGAGAATTTATTCTGGGGAGAAACCTTATGAATGTAAAGAAAATGGGGAGGCTTTTAGTAGTGGCCATCAACTTACTGCACCTCATACATTTGAAAGTGTTGCGAAACCTTATAAGTGTGAGGAATGTGGGAAAGCCTTTAGTGTGTATGGACGACTTACTCGACATCAGGGTATTCATAGTGGTAAGAAACCCTTTGAATGTAACAAATGTGGGAAGTCCTTTAGGCTGAATTCATCCCTTAAAATACATCAAAATATTCATACAGGTGAGAAACCCTACAAATGTAAGGAATGTGGGAAGGCCTTCAGTCAGCGCGCACACCTTGCCCATCATAACAGAATTCATACTGGTTACAAACCCTTTGAATGTAAAGAATGCGGGAAGTCCTTTCGTTGTGCCTCATATCTTGTCATACATGAGAGAATTCATACAGGAGAGAAACCCTATGTATGTCAAGAGTGTGGGAAGGGTTTTAGTTATAGCCATAAACTCACTATACATCGCAGAGTTCACACTGGTGAGAAACCTTATGAATGTAAGGAATGTGGGAAGGCCTTTAGTGTATCTGGACAACTTACTCAGCATCTGAGTATTCATAGTGGTAAGAAACCCTTTGAATGCAACAAATGTGGGAAGTCTTTTAGGTTCATTTCTGTACTTAAAGCCCATCAGAATATTCATAGTGCCGAGAAACCCTACGAATGTAAGGAATGTGGCAAGGCCTTTCGTCATGCCACAAGCCTCATATATCATGACCGAACTCATGCTGGTGAAAAGTCCTATGAATGTAAAGAATGTGGGGAAACTTTTAGTCATGCTTCACATCTTATTATTCATGAGAGAATTCATACCAGTGATAAACCCTATGAATGTAAAAGATGTGGGAAGGCATTTCGCTGTGCCTCGTATCTTGTTAGACATGAAAGGGTTCATGCTGATGGAAATCCCTATATGTGTGAAGAGTGTGGGAAAGCTTTTAATAGTAGCCATGAACTTAGTATACATCATAGAGTTCATACTGGTGAGAAACCCTTTAAATGTAATAAATGCAGAAGGTCCTTTAGGCTTAGATCCATCCTTGAAGTACATCAGAGAATTCATATTTGATAGAGAAACTGTGGCATATACAGGTAGTAAAGAAAGCACATTCTGTCAATTGATTTATCCCACTGAACAATTTGAAGACAATGTGGAATGGCTTTGAGATACAGTTCAGTTTTTGTTAGGCATCAATTTGTATTGGTGTGAACTTTTCAAAATGTAAATACGCAGTTTCTTTGGTAAGAACTGTGTTAACTCAGATTCAGAGAATTTATTACGTATTTTTTTAATAACATAAGAAAACCTTTTCTGATATTCCTCTAGTTTTGGATTGCCAAAATAATCATAGTAGAGGAAAACTGAGAGAATGCAGGAAACCATTCTTTATACTTGCATGTAAACATCTTGCAGCAACAATCATTTATTGTTAAACCTGGGAAAAGTCATTAAACAGGAAACCTCTGTCGATATAAGCGATGATGGGAAAGGCTATTTAGCCATTCTGCATATTTAATGCTCATGATCGATGTCCACTTCTTATAGCTGGGATGATATGGGGGAAGATACTTATCCCTTCTGGGGATCATATATAAATGGTGATAGTAGTACCTACAGTATAGTGCTGTTAGAATTACATGAGTTAGATGTGAAAGTCAGAGTGGAAGCAGGTGTGAGAGGGTCCCGCAGAAGAAAACATGGCTGCCAAAGTGTTTTGAGTCCATGGGCAAGTTTGGCCTGGCCTTAGCTGTTGCAGGAGGCATGGTAAATGCTGCCTTATATAATGTGGATGCTGGGCACAGAGCTGTCATCTTTGACCAATTCCGTGGAGTACATAACGTTGTGGTAGGGGAAGGGACTCACTTTCTCATCCCATGGGCACAAAAACCAATTATCTTTGACTGCTGCTCTCAACCACATAATGCGCCATTCATCACTGGTAGCAAAGATTTACAGAATGTCAGCATCACACTGCGCATCCTCTTCTAGCCCATCACTAGCCAGCATCCTCTCATCTTCACCAGCCTTGGAGAGGACTATGATGAGCCTGTGCTGCCGTTCATTACCACTGAGATCCTCAAGTCACTGCTGGCTTGCTTTGATGCTGGAGAACTAATCACCCAGAGAGAGCTGGTCTCCAGCCAGGTGAGCAACGACCTTATGGAGTGAGCAACCACCTTTGGGCTCATCCTGGACAACATGTCTTTGACATATCTGACCTTCGGGAAGGAGTTAATAGAAGCAGTGGAAGCCAAACAGGTGGCCCAGCAGGAGGCAGAGAGCACCAGATTTGTGGTGAAGGCTAAGCAGCAGAAAAAGGCGGCCATCATCTCTGCTGAGGGTGACTCCAAGGCAGCTGAGCTGATCACCAACTCACTGGCCACTGCAGGGGACGGCCTGAGCAAGCTGTGCAAGCTGGAAACTGTGGAAGACATTACATACCAGCTCTCATGCTCTTGGAACATCATCTGCCTGCCAGTGGGGCGGTCCGTGCTCCTCCAGTTGCCCTAGTGAGGGCCCAGCCTACCTGCACCTCCGTGAGGCAACTGGGCCACAGCCCCGATGATTTGTAATACCACCTTCTGCCCTAACCCCAGAAATCACTGAAATTTCATGATTGGCTTAAAGTGAAGGAAATAAAGGTAAAATCACTTCAGCTCTCTAAAAAACAAAAGAAGAATTACATGGGTTAGTACATGAAAAAATTATGGGAAACTACATGGAATATACTGTTACGTTCAATAAACATTAGCTTCTATATATAATAATATCATTACTTGTGTTATTTTTAGTGCATTTTGATGAGATGAAAACCATTAACCATTCAGATTTAATGAATTCAAAAAAGTTTTATGGTTTTTAAATTTTAATTCATTCTGGGTAAACTTAATAAGTAAAAACCATAAGAGGGCTTTCATTCTGATATGTTTAGGTGAATCAGACACTTAATCCTGGAATGAAATTCAGATGTAAGCTGGGCAGTGTGGCTCACGCCTGTAATCCCAGCACTTTGCGTGGCCAAGGCAGGTGGATCACTTGAGGTCAGGAGTTCAACTCCAGCCTGACCAGCATGGTGAAACCCCGTCTGTACTAAAAACGCAAAAATTAGCGGGGCATGGTGGCACACTCCTGTAATCCCACCTAGTCAGGAGGCTGAGGCAGGAGAATTGTTTGAACCCGGGAGGCAGAGATTGCTGTGAGCCGAGATCATGCTGCTGCACTCTAGCCTAGGCGACAGAGCAAGACTCCATCTCAAAAAAAAAAAAAAAAAAAAAAACCCTGCTTGAGAAAGCTCAATGCTGTTCTGAAAACATACTGTTCCAGCCAAAACCTGAAACTAGTGATAGGTCCTTAAGCCCCCTCTTGAAGCAGTTACTTTGGAAAGGTTGCAATTATAAATCATTTCTCTGCCCCTTTGAGATGTAAATCTACCACCAAGAGCTGTCTCCTCAGAGCTGAGTTTGAAATGCAAACATTCAGAGAGCCAGCTCTTGCTCCAACCTCTTAGTTCCTATGGGAATGTAAGGGCCTAACTTTGGTGGCTGTCTTGCTCCAACTTTCACAACTGTCTCAGTCATAAAGATACAAGAAATTTGTTTCTACTCTGGATAAATATCAATTAGTAAAAAAAAAAAAACTTGATGCCTTAGTCACAGGGACCAAACTCCCCCTTAACACCTTTCAGTGTCTCCTTTAGTACACTCCACCATTTTCAACAACTCCTGATTTCTGTTTCCCAAAGTGGAGCTCAGTTTACACTGTATTCTGTTCTCTAATACAGTAGTTATTACTGAATAAAATCTGTCTACTCCCTTTTACTATTGTCTCACTTTGTTTCTTTTTTTTTTTTTTTTTCTTTTTTTGAGATGCAGTCTGGCTCTGTGGCCCAGGCTGGAGTACAGTGGCCATGATCTCGGCTGACTGCAACCTCTGTCTCCTGGGTTCAAGTGATGCTACTGCCTCAGCCTCCCGAGTAGCTGGGATTACAGGCATCGCCACCACACCCAGCTAATTTTTGTATTTTTAGTAGAGACGGGTTTTCACTATGTTGGCCAGGCTTGAACTCATAACCTCAGGTAATCCACCCACCTCGGCCTCCCAAAATGCTGGGATTACAGGTGTGAGACACCATGCCTGGACTCTTTTCTCCTTTCTTTGAGACGGAGTCTCACTCTTGTCGCCCAGGCTGGAGTGCAGTGATGCAATCTTGGCTCTTTGCAACCTCCGCCTCCCAGGTTCAAGCAATTCTCCCGCTCAGCCTCCTGAGTAGCCGGGATTACAGGTGCACACCACCACGCCTGGCTAATTTTTGTATTTTTAGTAGAGACAGGGTTTCACCATGTTGGTCAGGCTGGTCTTGAACTGCTGACCTCAGGCGATCTGTCCACCTTGGCCTCCCAAAGTGCTGGGATTACAGGTGTTAGCCACTGCGTCTGGCCTTCTTCTTTCTTTTTTAAGACAGGGTCTAGCTCTGTGGCCCAGGCTGCAATGTAGTCATGCCATCATAGCTCTTGGGCTCAAGTGATCCTCTGGCCTCAGCCTCCTGAATAGCTGGGATTACAGGTGTAGACCACCAGGCCCAGCTAGTTAAAAAAAAAATTTTCTTTTGTAGGCATGGTGGGGTCTCACTATTTTGCCCAGGCTGCTTTTAAATTTCTGGCCTCAAGCAATCCAGCTGCCTTAAGCTCCCAAAGCACTGGATTACAGGCATAAGCCTCTGTGCCCGGCCCCACTTCATTTCTCTTTGACAAAACCTAAACATTCTGTTTATTTGAACACCACTTATACTTATGTCAATGTTCTGAGTAAATGTAAATGAATACTGACAAAATAATAGTATAACATAAGAGAGGTGTTTGTTTTTTGAGACAGAGTCTCGCTCTGTCGCCAGGCTGGAATGCAGTGGCACGATCTCAGCTCACTGCAACCTCTGACTCCCTGGTTCAAGCGATTCTCCTGCCTCAGCCTGCTGGGTAGCTGGTATTCTACTGATATTAGCTGGGTGTGGAGGCATGTGCCACCACACCCAGCTAATTTTTGTATTTTTAGTAGAGACGGGGTTTCACCATGTTGGCCAGGATGGTCTCCATCTCCTGACCTCGTGATCCGCCCATCTTGGCCTCCCAAAGTGCTGAGATTACAGGCATAAGCCACCACGCCCAGCCCAGAGAGGTTTTTTAAACAAAACAAATATGTAACTGATATCTTGTATTTTAAAAATAAGAAGGCATATGAAATTGAATGCATTCTGTGAGGAGAGTCAGAGTATTGATAAATTTGGACTTACTAAAATTCCTGGGGTAATGACTAAAAGAACCTACAAACTATTAAAGAGAAAATTGGAATAGTAATACATCAACCCAACATAAAGAAAGGAGAGAAAACGGAAACATGCAACAAAAAGAAAACAAATTAAAATGCCAGGAGCTCACGCCTGTAATCCCAGCACTTTGGGAGGCATAGGTGGGAGGATCGTTTGAACCCAGGAGTTCAAGGCCAGCCTGGGCAACATAGGGAGACCCCGTTTTTAAAAAGTAATAAATAAGTCTCCGAAGCAGGGAAGGAAGGGCAAGATGGTTTACATCTCAAATGCACAAGTGTTGGACAGCTGGAGTCAGTTTCCATGGAGATTATCTTTGATAACAGATTTCTTCTGGGGAATAGCTGAGTTTGTGGTTTTGTTTTTCAAAACTCTGCTTCAGCAAGATTTGAAAAAAAGAAGCAGCTATGGAAACTCATGTGATTCCAGATATGATGGTAATGGAAGAGGGCCACTGGGAAACCCTCCCGGAAGAATGGGTCCAATCAATCATCTGGGTGGCCCCAGTCCTCTAATGGCTGGTGGAAGAGGAAGGTAAATGTCTGCTCTAAGCAGCAACTGGACGTGCGCATTCATAGCAGAAGGAAACCATCAAGAAGTGGAGTACTGACCATGCTGGAGCAGTAGATGAAAGTGTCTGTCTAAACAAGGACTGCTCTGTGTCCTCACAGATGAATGAGGTCATGCTGGGAATTCCCTCTGCAGGGAACTGGCCTGACTGACATGCAGTTCCACAAATGCACGTTTGTCTCATTATCTTTTTAGTATAGTTTATTAAAGTATTAATATGGTTTTGTTGTTGTGGTGGTGGTTTTGAGACAGAGTCTCACTCTGTCGCCTAGGCGAGTGCAGTGGTGCGATCTCGGCTCACCGCAACCTCTGCCTCCCGGGTTCAAGCGATTCTCCTGCCTCAGCCTCCCGAGTAGCTGGGACTACAGGCACACGCCACCACGCCCAGCTAATTTTTTGTATTTTAGTAGAGACGGGGTTTCACCGTGTTGCCCAGGCTGGTCCCGAACTCCTGAGCTCAGGCAATACGCCCGCCTCGGTCTCCCAAAGTGCTAGGATTACAGGCGTGAGCCATCGCACTCGGCCTCCTCATCTTTAAATTTACAAAAAGATTGAATACGAAGAAAATAAATAAAAGCCTGTGTATTTAGCAATAAAAATAAATAAATAAAAATGTAATAAAATGGCAGCGTTAAATCTAACAGTGGCTATATTAAATGTAAATAAATTAAATACTCCAGTTAAAAGAGGCAGACGTTCGGGGTGTATTTAAAAGCCACCGTCACAAATGGTCTTCCCACTGCCCTGTTCGCATGCTCAGTCCCTAACAGCACTGACTTTGGGACTACTCACCTCGGGCAGCCCTGAGCCTCCCAGGCCTGAGCACCGCTCTTTGAGCAGCTACCTTACTGCGTCCTTCAGCCGGGAAGCGGCTGCGTTCCTGCGCGAAGCACGTCGGCCGCGAACGCCTCTGGGAAATGTATTCCGGGCTACGAGCCCAGAAACATGGCGGAACCGGTTGCGGGGAGGTTGCTTGAATCCTCTCAGCTGTCCCCCGACCTAGTTGCTGGCACAAGCTGCGCCCGGAGACGTGGGAGCGTTCTCTTGTTTTCCGAGTGCACAGACTCATCGGGTCACAATTTATGCTTTTGTGACGCAGTGAGTTCAGCCACTGATTCCTAACGGTTTAGAGTGGGGAGGTTATGCTTGGGCGTCCTGGACGCTGGCCCGCCTGGTGGCTGTAGAGGACGCGACGGATCCCGGGATGGGGCTGGAGGTTTGCAAGAGTCCATCCGAGGGGATTCTGGCTGCGAGTGTGACAGAGTATGTGAAAGCCGCATGGAGGATCTGATTGTAGTGCGAGCGAGAGTGAGTGCCCGCAAGGGATCGTCACCTGAGTGGGAGTCTCGGATTCACCGCCTCTTACCTTTCCTTCTTCTACTGTAAAATGGTGAAAATAAGGGTGCTTCTTCCAGAACGTCAGTTTACTCGAAAATCTGGAAAAGAAAAGGCTAAATAATTGATCTGATAAATATTATAAAACAGGATTTCTGTATAAAATATAAATTTATTATTGTATAGTATACCAAATCAGTGTGACTTTTAAATACAGGAAGAAATATTTTAAAGGATCTTATTTTGTGGGACTGCTGCTTTTCCGTCAGACCCTGAGTAGAGTAGGCATTTATTCTGTTGCTTAGGGAACACAACAGATTTGAGAAGCCTCGGATTAAGGAATAATTTATGAAGCCCCGTTGACTACCCTGGAGAGATCATAGTTTGGGGTTCAAGATTCCAGGGGAGGCGCTATAACTCCACTTTCTGAAGAGCAAACCTTGGCTCCAGAGGTCCTGGAGCCTTTTAAGGCACATGAATGAAGAAGAATTTTTCTAATTCTTTACATTTGGGAGGCACAAATTTTTTTGTGAGGTCACATCTAT